TTGGGATTCAGAGGGGAGGGTCATCCATAAAAATTTTTAACAATCTTTAAAAACATTTTTTTAGGAGGTCAAACCTTTTTATATATTTATATTCTTTTGTTACCTGCCAAAGGACAAAGTGTTCTCTGATCATCTTTCGAACTTGTTCATTACTCCATACATCTCTGTTCAGCTGCTGACATCGAAATTCTTTGACGTCTTGTACATTAACTAATAACCATTTAGACTGCTGTTGTCCACTTGTTTTAGCCTGAAGATAGTTCAAGAAAAAAGTGAAAAAATGGAAACTGAAATGAAAATGAATGGGAGAAAGAATGCCTTACGAGGATAACAGGGGGCTTTGATTTGAAAATATAGCAGACTAGTAAACAGCAATCAGAAAAATGGGAAATGAAAAGAAAGGGATAGCAAAAAGAATGGCTTGATAGGAAAAGAACAAGTAACCATAGCATTATAATTCATAATATTAAAGTTGATTATAGCCTTCAAAGTATTTACAGTTTCAAAAGTTCCCTTGTGAAGTAAGTCTATGGGAGGTCTGAATAAATCTTCTAGCGTTTTTCTCTTTGAAGCACCTGCTTCTCCAGCAGCCTCTAATTCTTGTTGTCCTACGAGAAAATTCCCACAGTCAACCAATTTCATTTAAAATACTTTGCTTAGCGAGTAAATGCAAAGGCAATCAAGGGTGGCACAGCGGTAGTTGACCGATATCTCACCTCTGGGGTCTCAGGTTTGAATCCTAAACTCTTGGCATCATATGTGAGTATGTTTGTTAGGTCTCTGTTTTTCCTCTCTCCACAAAACTTAATAAGCTAAAGACCAATTTGAACTGTAAGTTAGCCGTGCCCTGACTTTGGCCAGCCTAGAGGTTGGTTCATTATATGAAATTTGAGTGCCATGGTCTAAATAAAGATCCCAGTTTCTGGCAAATGATATAGCACAGGCTACCCAGATTTTAACATAGTTCATAGAAAACCTGCTAATCAGGATAATCGGCCTAATCAAGATTGACTTACTTGCTTCTGCCTGGAAGTCTCTGAAGGCATCAAACACAGATCTTGATGTTCTTTTCCGATTACTAAATGCTATAGTGGAAATGAATAAATCAATCAGCTGGACATAAGAACAGCTGGTATAAACTGGTGATCAGCAGTATAATATCTATTAAGATCTAAACAAAATCTATATTAAAATCTGCGGGTAAGAATCTAAAATTATAAATATAAGAAAGGGCAAAATTAAGTATAATATATACATATATACACTGAGACACGAAAACCCAGCACCCACAAAAACTCCGCACCCACAAAACATATAAATATATACAGTATCCATTGTATATAGGCAACATTGGTTAATCTCTAAAATCTAAATCTATTTCATATTTGAAAGTGGCGCACATCAACAAACAAGTGCATGCAATCCTATATTCACCTGTAGGTGATTATCGATTTTCTATAATCACCTGGGCAATGATACTAAATAAGCTTTATATTAACTTGTGAATGAGATAAATATTATGACTTACAAGAGTAAGGTTCTTCCACCAAGATGCCTCTCGTCTGTGGAATTGGGGCACGCACATTATCTTCCATGCTGCTAATTTAAAAAAATTAATAGACATTAATTAATGCATTTTATATAACATGCAATACATCATAAATATTAATGAACTAAGTGATGTAGAAATTACTGTGGGGGTGGTAGTTGGTTATGTTGTTTCATTTCATAGATGATCACAGTGTGTCTATGATGAAATCAATGAATGCCTTTCTCGTAATCTACCATTTTTTTATATTCATGAATTTCACAATATAATGAAATGAAATGTACGTAAACAGAGATTGAATCTCTTATAGAACATTAGGAAATATAACAAAAAGATAAAAAAATAAATTATGATTTAAATCGCGAATAAAAAGCCCGACAGTAACATCTGATGGAGGATCAAAAACACTTACTTCGGGTGCAGGTCGGATCTTGAACTAGAAGCACTGCTTTCAATGGCTCCATCTTGGACTAGAGATGACGAGGCTTGATTCTCCGTAGTACATGAGTCAAAATGCATCTCAATGGCCATTTCAAGATTGCCATTAGTCGCATCTAATAATGACTTTGCTCTATCCCTATTAACGCCGGTGACGTTAATAAATTCTGCAATCAAAGTTGACCACTTCTCCGCCATTTTGAACACAAACTAGATGAGGGAAAACCGCGGGAAAAAGACAGCTGGGAGCCTGGGTCTAGCTAGCCCCAGGGAATTTCAAAAATGCATATATATTTATACTGTATAGCTATACTGTATATATATATATATCAATTTTGCTTGAAAATTCCTTGAAGATTTCTACACTACTCGCTACCGAAGAGAGTCTTTACTTGAAATTTTAAAAAGCTGCTACAATACGAATATTTCATTTATGGTATATAAATATAAAAAAATAGCTTGTTAAATGTGAACATTTCAAATCTAAAAAAAATAGTTATCAAGGACGGAAAATTCCCCACTTTTTCCCTAAGAGGTTTTTAATTCTTGATTTAAGTTCAACTGTTCCTGTTACTTGTTGATTTTGCCTTTCATTATAGTTCGAGAGCTTCGGGGCTACTTTCGGGATTTGTTCGTGGAGCGGGATTAGAGCCTGGGACTGTACAGAGCCTTAGACTGTTAGCGTTCCTCTTCTACTAATATCTTGTTTTTGTTTTGCTAATAATGTTAAATATTTCAAGGTATTTTTAGTTACCTTAGCGATATGGTTTTCACATTTCTGATACCCGATATGTAGAAAAACCAAGCGAGCATCGAACTGGAGGGTTTCAAGAAAAGAAAGATTATATTCTGAGGTAAAAATTGAAGTTTAAACAGCGCGCAAATTTGAATATGATTCTTGACGACTTTGCAAACTTTCGACGACCTTTATTTTCGTTCCTGTCTAGTAAGGCTTCATTACTTTAAAGTCCTCTTAAATGGTAAAGATTTATACAATTGGAGTTGCCTTTGAGACGTGGATTCATTGAGAAAAGACGAATAATAGGTGAGTTTTTTTATACGTTTGATGATAGACGTGATAAATCCTAGGGTTGACTTCGCAGTCTTCGTTTCCTAGCAAAGTATGAAACTTAAAACTTAAAATTATTGTCTTTGACCTTGCTCAACCATGAAATTATACATATTTTTATTCCTAAATCTTAAAACTTTTGTTCCCAAAGCTTTTTCTTTTGCTTAAATATAATTTTAGTCTTCATTCACGAGCATCGCTTGTTTCGTGATAATAATAAGGCGTCAAATTCTCGAAAAGTCAAACTGTTTAAAGTTTTGTGAAAAAAAAAGAATCTCCCTATTTAAATTGCAATAAGCTTTAGGAAGGAATCTTTATTTGCCTCGTTATCCTAATGAACATATTTTCAATCGATGCCATAAATTTTATCATTCCATTTGTGTTGCTAGATGAGACAAGTTTTATAATTTTACCGATCTTTTTGTGATATTTTATTGTCTTTGTTTTAACACAAAATAACGAATAACAGTAAAGAATCCTACAAGAGAAAGAGTGTTAAAATTACGATCATGTATATAAATTATTATGACTGATAATGATGACGCTTAGAATATTAAAACTTCAATATTTTTATTTATTGCATTTTGATGTCTCCCTATTTCAAGGTCAATTTATTCGCAATAATGAATAATTCACACTTCAGTTGTCCTTTAGTCTGTAGCCTTTGGTCCATTTTGTTAGAATTTGTTCTGATATTTGACATCGTATGTGGTCATGGCCATTTATGTGTGACATTTTTTGGTTGATGATTATATATCAATATTAACAAATTTCAATAAATTGTAACCAAGGTCGTGTAGATGTATACCCCTTTTTGAATTACCTCTTACACAACTTTAGCAGGTAAAGTCAAAATAAATTCCACTTTCTCAATGGAATTTGTTCATATTTCTTTTGTATTTCCTTAAGGCTTGCACTCGAGATAATTTTGAAAGGGGTGTTTGATTGTTTTCGTCTTGATTATAATAAGCTTATATATAAATTAATTGGTAGTGAGACAATTATGTTTTTCACTTCAAAAAGTAAATAAATGAATGTTAAGCTTTTTAATTCTTTTGAATATCAACAACAATCAATACCCAATGAAGCCCTTTAAAACATGACTATGAAACAGATCTAACAATTTATTCGGCTATTCCTTTATTGGGTATTTTGCTATTGAAAAGAAACAGACAGATCAAAACTAAACAATCTTATATGAGGCATAAAGTTTTCATTGACAAATAGTAAAAACAATGAAGTTGGTCATGGTAATTTGCACAGTAGTGTACATAGCAGAAATCTAAATATATGTATGCCATGGGAAAGTCATATTTCAGCTATATCCTAAACCCTATCTTCCCCTGTGAGTTTTGGCTATGTGAACAAAGTCTAGCAGGTGGGCTCATAGAAGTGTCATAATTTTGAAGAGTAAATAACCAAAACTTCTGTCTGAAATATCAAAAATGTCTCCAAGAGGAATTTAATTTCTTATAATTTGATCGTTAATAATATTAAATTGGTAAAAATTTAACATGCAGACCTACTGATAGCACAAATAATCCTAACCCCGAATTAGTTCTGCCAAAACCATCCTTTAATAGCTCTACTATTAATTTTAATTTTGGCTATAATACAGACAGTTGGAGAGTCTATGATTCATTTGCATTTGTACTGATTGGGAGATGGTCTACTTTAGTGAACTGACCAATAACATTTTACACAAAGTATAACATATTTTATGGCTCGTTTACAGAAATCATGAACTTCACTTTTGGAAAAAGAACTGAGCAAGTTGACTGGAGAAAATTAGGTAGATTTTTACTTGTGATACTGTGAAATTTGATTTGTGAATAATAGGGTATAACAATGGATCCTTCTCAAAATAATCTTGGATGTGAGGCTAACATGGAAATACGAAAGAAATGTCACGAATTACATCGATAAAAAGTGTGGTATCTTTTGTATTTTCATGTTAGCCTCGCATCCAAAATAATTTTGAGAAGGGTTCATTACCATTAAGACTAACACAGCATTTAATGTCATAAGTATTATTTTCTTGTCTCAATCTACGATTACTACTTTTTATTGATGAAATCTATTTTTATTTTAGCGGCTGTAGATCTTGATCGTCTGACTCGTGAAATGGATGTCAAAACGCTACAGGATAATATCTTGAATGTTACTTATTGTAACATTGAAGCTGAGTTGGTAAGATATATATTGCAGCAAATTAATTATTAGTATTGCTATTAATAATACCTTTTGATTAGAGTGTCAACAGCAGATTGGAGGATTGATCAATTATTACTTGATCTGATTGATATTCTAATGTTATACCCAATAACTGTCTCAGTAGCTTTTTCTTGATTCATTGAGATTGGCTGTCCAAAGTACATGACATAATACTAAAGACACTTAGTCACATTTTCAGTGATTTTTTCCTGATAACTTTATAACCAGTACACTGATATGCTATATTTCAACCCATGATAGTAATATTATAGATAAAGGAAATATAACGTTTTGGATAGAAAAAGTTAGTGGAAAACATGGCTATTGATATATTTAACAACTTTCACTAGGCAAAACAAAAAAATCACTTCAATTGACCAGTTGACTACTATCAAATTTGAGTCCTGCATTTTTATTTTATTTTCCATTAGACTTTTCATATATATCAAAAACTTTCATTGCCTATTGAATCCAAAAATCTTTTACTGACCATTCTATCTAGTTGTTTGATTAATTATTTTGAATTTATAGGGTATGCAGGCTGTTAATTTTGATCCCAACTTCATCAAGTTATTCAATCTGGCCCAGTTAATCATAGAGTATTTATTGGTGAGTGCAATATTGACATCGTAATACTAGTAACAGTTTTGAATGGGTATTCACTGGCTATAGTTAAGCGCTACTCATACAAAACCAGGAAAAATTATTCTGAGACTCTTACATGGCTGCTATAATGTATTAGGCTGGTAAAACCATAAGTGAAGATGGTATCAACTATTACAAACCATATGATTAACTTTTCATTCTTGAAAGAAATAATATTAAACTAATAATATTTTTGGTTTGGGCAGCATTCCCAAGAATATTTATCAAGTAATCTAGAGACTGAGGTCAAAAAGGTACAAGAAACAATGCAGGTATCATGACTGTAATCTTATCTAGAGAAATCTTATACACTTATTTCAATAAAGTTAGTCACCAAAAAAGAAAGCTGTGATTGCTGAGAATCATGGGAAATATTTCATATTCAACAAGTAAAGCTTTTGACACAAACTGCAGCAGTTGAGGATGCTCAGAGGAGGTGAACTCGTAACTGGTAGAAGATCTCAAGTCCATCAACAGTTATCAAGTGGTTAAAACATGTAAAATGTATCTACCCATAATCCTTGTTGGTCTCAGCTTTGTAGCTTTTCAGGCGACTAACTTTATTGAAATAAGTGTATACATATATAAGTAATACTGACAATGGTCCTTTGATTAAGTAGATCACCTTTGGGACCGTTGCATGTTGTCTCCTATTAATAAAGACGTCCACTGAATACAGATTTATCTTTTAAATATGCCCTTAGAAGAAAGTATCAATAAATTCTAATATATTACTGTACTGTTGTGCTAGTCAAGAGATTTAAGATTTGTTAATAATAAAGAACTTATTTATCATCTTTATTTGTGGTTGAACCAGAGTGCTGAAGAAGTAAGAAAAGAGTTAGAACAGAAGGCAGAAGCTCAAAATAAACTGAAAAAAGAAATAAAAAAATTAAAGAAATGGATAGCAGAATATCAGATGATGATGAGGGCAGGTGCTAGTGGAATACATAAGGTAAGGAGGATAATCATACTAGTAGATTTTTAATGATAAAAAGGTAAATTATACACACTGACGTTTCGGATGCTAGTCCTTCGTTTTTGGAATAAAGGAGATTTTTAGTTTGAATGTAAACATCTTTTGTGAGTCACACTTTATGTGGTGGTACTGTATGTTCTCCAAGATTAGACTAATTGAAAATGAAGCTATTTTATCTTCCTTTTCCTCTCTATATCACTACCTCCCTCTGCCTATCGTCCTTCAAATTTTATTGATACCCTGAAACAGCATACCTCTTGACCGATAAAAGTCAAGGTATGGCCAAATCACTGATCAAATCCCTGAAACAACTTACCTGTCTCAGCTGATTGAAGTCAGGGCACAACTAACTCACAGATTGAATTTTAATCAGAAAAACTGGAGAATCCAGAGAAAAATCCTTGAATCAAAAAAACTCTTCTCACATGATTTAGAGTCCAGGCATCAAGCCTGATCAAGCCAGTCAGTTCCAGTTCATTTCAGTCACAACAAATCCATTCCAGTCATATCCAGATAACTTCCAATTTATTTATCTTAATAGCATCTTAATGGAGGAAAATTATTTGTAAAAAACTGTTACGATCCACAGTCACCTATAGAAACATTATGTATACAGTCCTTTGAAAAACCTTTGCTGCTGACCGGCTTCACAGGACTTCAACCAGTGCCACGATCCAAAAAAAAGAAAAATAATAATTTGCATTTGTTTGCAAAATTTTGGAATAGAATCATTAGTTATTTATAATAAAATGAAAATCATAGGATAAAAGCTGCAAATTCAGCATAAAAAAACGTATATGTTCTGTACGATCCAGTCAACCGAAGTCCAGTCCATTCCATCTATGTACGGTTCCGATTTTCCAAAATTAAAAAACACTTAAAATTCGGGCATTTAAAAGAGGAAAACAAGTTTTAGAAATTGGGGAATGTTTTTGCTATACATTCAGGTTATCCATGGCCTTTCAAAAGGTAAAAATTCAAAACTTTTTTTTTGTGATTCAAGATCCAGTCACTGACAGAGGCCCAGTCACTTGCAATCCATTTCAGTCAAAACCAATCCATTCCAGTCACATCCAAATAATATCGAATTTATCTCAATAGCATCTTAATGGAGAAGGTGCAAGTGCACTTCTCCAGTGCCTTCCTTGTTTTCTCCCTCCCTCCCTCCCTCCCTCCCTAACTCCCTCCCTCCTTCCCTCCTCAATTTTGCTTCCTCTTTTGCTTTTAACTAATGTAAATAATTTATAATATTTCTATGTTGCAGTGTCCTTACTGTGCAAAAGCCTTCGTAAGCCAAGAGTATCTCTCAGCACACCTTGCTCGCCGTCATAATGATGATGGTGCACATATGAATGGATATATTACATCCGTTAAGCCTGTCAATATCACAGTGTCTTCAAAACTTGCCAATGGAGAAGTAGACCAGGACAAGTTAGCTTTAGTTGAAGAAATGAAACAGATAAAGGATAGGCTTTATGCTACTGAGAGAGATCTGATGAATGAAAGAGCTGCAAGGGAGATGGGTTCTGCAAGGGTAATCATTGTTGTTTATTTGCCATGCATGTAATATTTGATGATTGGGTGGTTTGGGGGTCAGGCAAAAGGTTGGAAATAATAAGACTTTAAGATACTTACTCAGGGTCAAATTTAATAGTGCCACCTTACACTGGAGTCTTAAGAGTCTTTGAGATAATCAGAATTTTCAGATATTCAGGGCTCATGATAAGTATTCACTATATTTACTAGTTTCTTGTAGTTTTAATTGTCATGTGTTGATATTTCCAAATGCAGCTCAATTTGGAATGCAAATTGATAATTCTCATTTTCCAAAAGGGGAACTTTGCTTTGTACTCCAAATTGAGCTACTGTACATATTGAAAATCTGCTGTGCACAGGAGTTCATATTTATGCATTTAAATTTTCCCCCTTCTCCCTCTCTTTGTTTATAACTTCCTTTATTCATTCATTCATTCCCTCCTTCCTATTATTTCTTTACCTTCCATTTCATTCCTCCCATTTACATTTATTCCACTGGCTAAGTCTTATGATAATCACACTTTTTTTCCAATCTTAAATTTCGATAGGAAAAAGACCAATCATCAAGTGACCAATCAAAGTTCAGAGAAATGGAAGAGAATTATGAAAACTGGAAAAGAATGGAAGAAGAAAGACATAGGGTATGGATACATAGCAATATTTTTCTTATTTCACTTTTAAAAGTTCCCCGGCATCACAGACATATTCCTTTTTTTTTTTTTAATTAACTCACTCACATATTCATTCACTCAACTAACTTGTCCATTCATTGTTTATTCATTCATTTTCAGGGGGAAATGGGCAATTAAAAACACCTTTGCAGCTCTCATTCGTTCGTTCGTTCATTCGTTCGTTTGATTGTTTGTTCATTCATTCGAAACAGACAATTTATGAAACACTTTTGCAGCTCAGGCTCTGATCCATTCATTCAATCACTCACTTGTTCATCTTTCATTCCTTTCTTCCTTCTTCCATTCATCTATTTACTTACTCATTTATTTTTCAGAGAGAAATGGACAATTTAAAAAACACGCTTTTACAGCAAATGCAAGAGCTGCAGATGCAAAGTCAAGCAGAAAAGGAATCTTTTAATCAGGTATATTTTTGGTCACAATTAATGGTCCTGCATAGCAGAAACTAAACCATTGTAACCTTCTATTTTTAATTATAATTTTCTTCTTGCTTCTTATCTAGGCTATTTCAGATCTGGAGAATAAAATGAGTATGTATTTTACTTGATTAAAAGATGTACCTTATAATAGTTACATACTTAGTTTGTATTATGCTATTATTCAAGCAGTACTCGACCCATTTCAAGTTCGCCTTTGCTCAGTCTTAGCCTTGATTGTGTACAAATGTGTTCTTTGCTTTATTAAGGTCCATCATATAGTAAGGAATGTCATGGGTTTTGGTTGAATAGCTGAATATTTAAACACCCAACCAAGACTAACGCCAAGCAAAATAGAACTCGAAACTGGAGTGTTGCAATAATTAATGGACATATTATTATATTTCCCCAATTTCATAACCCACCATTTTGGGTTTCCACAAATAAAAATAATCCCTAATAGTAAGAATTGAAAATATTGAAATTGCTAAAATTTTGGTTTGCTGTCTGGGTGTTATGACTATTGAAATGGCTGTGGATTGGTAAAAAGTACTTAGGCCAAACAAAAAAAATAAGTGTGTTTCCTGTTGCATGACTGACCCTAATTTTCTTGTAGATTTTTGCCGACCCTAATATTTTTTTCATTCTCAAATGCACCACAGGATTCCCAGTAAGTTCATTTCCACTGTTGTATCAGTAAAAAAAATCCAACCTACCGACCCCAATTATTTTTCTCATGCAACAGGAAACACATTTTCTTTTCGTTTGTCCTTATGTACAATAAACTTATATTAACAACCCCATCGCTTGGTGAGTGGCTCAATTGTGCCTAACTAGGCTAAGCACTCACGGCAATTGCAATGTTTGCAGGTAACTAGGTGCATATGCATAGGAGCTCAAAAGTGGCACAGGGATGAGCCAGCTAGTGTAATTATATCATTGTCTGTTTTGTATCACAGCGACAAGACCATCAATGATTGGTTCTATAAAGGTAATTTTAATTTGTCTGACATGAATGTGTGGTATGTTGCAACTCATTAAATGGAAGAAAAAAGGAGAAAAGTTGCTGTGATTAGAGTTGATCAATTAGTTGTGTGCAGAAATCCCAAAAATTGAAAATATTGGAAATTTCTTATGTAGCCAGAGGTTTTTCCACTATAAAGGCGGATATATATTATAAAGGTGGATTATATATAAAGGTGGATATATATTTTGTTAAAATTAATTTATATTTCTATGTGTATATTATAATATAATTATATTTGAATAGGATGAGGATGAACCTGATGGACCAAGTAAAGGAGAGATTGCAGATATGATGAAGGAACAGGTAGGCAGACATACATTTTGATTGTAGTATTAGCCTGTAGTGGCATGTACTATAGATGTGCCACCTCCCATCCCTGTGGTCAATAAGGTTTACCAACATATGTAAGTAAGCTGCTTGTTGGTTCTCTCATATCCTTTGAGGGTTTCTCATCACATTCCTCCCTTCCTCCCTTCCTCCCTTCCTCCCTTCCTCCCTTCCTCCCTTCCTNCCTCCCTTCCTCCCTTCCTCCCTTCCTCCCTTCCTCCCTCCCTCCCTTCCTCCCTCCCTCCCTTTCCTACCAATTTGATCATAGAACAAGGGCCACAGATTTGTTACACTGTCTATTACTGGAAGTGCCAGAGTGAGGATTTAATATGTGATCTCAATTTTTTAGCTTGAGCTGATCAAAGCACAAACACAGGATGACATGCAACAAGAGATGAAAAGATTAAATAAAAAATGGAAAACAAAAGAAGATAAGCTCCAGACGGACCATGAAAATGAAATGAATAAGGTAGATATTGCACATCATTTTTAGTTACCATCATCTTTATCATCAGTATCTTCAGGTACGAGGCAGTTTACTCCAGAAATAAATTATGGCCTATGAAAAAGATTGTTCATCATACTCCTCCTCATCATAATTGTAATTATTCAGCATCACCACAATCATCTTCTGGCTCCTCTTTATCATCATCTCATCATCATCATCATCATCATCACACTCATCATCATTGTCATCATAATTTTTGTCCATTACTATCACTACCCACACCACCCTTCCCCTACTCATCTTTATCACTTTATCATCATTGTTGCAATTATTCACCACCAACATTATATCCTCCTTGTCCTCCTCCTCGTCCTCCCCTTCTTCCTCATCCTCCCCCTCCTCGCCTTCTCCTCGTCCTTGTCCTAGTCCTCCTCGTCCTCGCCCTCCTCGTCCTCCTCCTCATCATCATTATCATTATTATCATCATCCTGATTGTTATCATTTGACATCATCATCTTAATTGCTATTATCTAATATTATTCTTACTTGACTTTTGTTAGGTTCGAGAACTTCTGAATCAGTATGAAGACAAGCTAACGACTGAACAATCAGAAAAAGATGAATTATACAAAAAAGTTAGAGAGTTGACAAAGGTAATTGATTTAATACATGGGAGGATTGGGATAGAAATGCAACACAATTGGAATAAACTGAAAGGAAAAATAAGAAATTATTAAAGGGAAATAAATTGAATGAGATTGAGTTGATGTAAGTTGAAAGAGAAAAAAACAAGATCAGAAAAAAAAGCTTTTTTTGATTTATTTATTAGAAACTTAATGAGCATGATAAAGCAATAGAAGACAGTAAGGTAAGGGTTAACAAACATTTATAATAATTGTATTATTTATTTCCTTGTACCAATGAAGAACTGTTAGTAATCTTTGTTTCCATTTTCCTCATTTCTGAATCGTCTGGGTGTGCATTGAGTACAATATATAGCTATCACAGGAAAAGAAAACGGATTCCCAAATTGGGAATTGTTGGGAATTTCCTTGAATTCCCAATTCAAACACCAACGTTGGGATTTATTGTTGGGAATTTCCTTCTAATACCCAATAGAAAAACAAAATTCTCAACAAACTAACATTCAGAATCAGTGCCACATTCCCAATTTCGTTCTCTCTGGGAATTAGATGGGAATTCATTGGGAATTCATGGAAATTTGGAAATCCAGTTTTTTTCCTGTGATAGAGGGTCCACAGTAATTGGCTACTCACTGTTGTGGTTCCCAACTGTCTCACTAACTTTGTGATGGTAATGATGGTAGAGCAAATATAAATTAAAATACTGACATGTTTGCTATGTTGACAGGTTGCGGCAGAACAGTATCAACAAGCTGCCAGACAGCAACCAATACTGGGTAAGCACAGTCATGTTGGCTTGTAAGCTAGGTCAAAGTGTATTATGTCAACTGTGTCAAGAATAGTGCAAGTTAGAAAATCAAGGGTGGTATAGCAGCATTTGAATCTCACCTCTGGGGTCTCAGGTTTGATTCCTAGACTGATCATAACAAGATAGCGAAGTTTTGCTAGGTTTCTTTCTTGATTTAGGGGTTTTTCTCCAGGTTCTCCGGTTTCCTTCTTCCCCACAAGATCCAAAAAGCCAAAAAGTGAGTTAGCCATGCCCTGACATTGATTAGCCAAGAGGTTGTTCCTGGGTTCCATCTATGAGTTAGCCGTGCCCTAACATTGATCGAGCCAGAGGTCTTTTCAGGGTTCAAACTGGGAGTTAGCCATGCCCTGACATTAATCAACCCAGAGGTTGTTTCAGTGTAACAATAAAATATGAAGGTTTGAAGGTAGCTAGTGTTTATTGTCTTTCACATCCATACTTAGTAACTGTATGTACTTTCTCTTGTAGCCACACCACCAGTTCCAAGACGAGAAGTAACTTTCTCTGATCAAGGTAAAAACATCATATTAAAGAAATTAAGAAATAATTTTGATGAAAGCTAACTGGAAAACTATTACCTACATATTTGTTGATAGACCTCCTGGAAAGAGATAGAGCGAAGACACCAGATTTTGATAATAATAAAGGTATAATGCTTCGTATTACAAGTACTTTGGTGATGATGATGGAAGTGGTCTTGGTGATGACGATCATGAATGTGTGGTGATGATGATGATGATGAATGTGTGGTGATGATGGTAGTCGTGGTTTCGGTGATGGTGATGATAATGGTGTTGGTAGTAGTGGTAGTGGTGGTGATGATGATGGTGGTAATGATGATATAATAATGATATTTTTGTTGTTGCTGGGGGTGGTGTTTTGCGTTTTTGTCTTTAATGTTGGTGTAGTGATCATTGTTTTTAATACCGTTGAAGCCATTGCTGGTACTATTGTTTATAATTTATAGGGTCTTACTAGTGATACACTGATCATTTATCATTATTACTTTTGCATAGTTTTTATACTATATATTTTACATCTGTAACGTTTCCCTCCCCAGATGATGCAATGATGCTCTTCGTAGCTGCCAACACCAACCGCAGCCAGTACAGATTATGGCGTCAAAGAGCTGAAGGCTCCAGCGAGTGGGTCGACAAATTCAACTTCAATGCATACGTACGACCTGTTGGTCCCTTCACTACCCCAGTATACGTCTACGCTGCCAGTGGTTCTCCATACTGGAGGCAGTGTATCTCTGGCAACTCCAAGCCTCCTAGTAATGAGTATCGTTTGGATTACATGTTCTATGCATCTCAGAGCCCAGTACTTGGTTCTGTTCAGCTTCATGTACTTGATGCTGGTACTCTGCCTGTGGTTAGGTCTTGTGTTTTCAAGTCTAAGGATCTGCCCGGATGGAAATATAAGGGATTTTCATTCTATGCTATGAAGTCAAATCCGAAAGGTATGGTCTTGGTTCTTTGTAAAATTATGTAGTAGTGTTACTTGTCACCGCTGTAGTCACGGGATCCATCATAGGCAGATCCATAGGAGTTGAATTTATTTGTGTTTCTGATGATGGTGATGGTGATGGCAGTGGTATAAAAATGATGGTAGTGATGATAAAAATGATCGTCGTCGTTTGGCGATGAAAATGATGATGATGGTGGTGGTGGTAGCGTTGAATGATGATGGTATGTTGGTGATGATCATGTATGTGACGATGACGATGATGGTGGTGAATGATTACAATGACGCTGATGTTTGTAATGGTGGTGTTAATGTTGTTAATGTTGATAAAAGAATCATCAACTCAGTTCGTCGTAAATTAGATGGATACCCGACGCATTAGCAACCAAAGCACGAGAATAACGAATGTATTCTGGAGTTGTAAGGATCGCAGAAACATATACATTGCTTCATTTGTTATCAGTTACAAGATTTGTTTCTTTTGATCCAGGTGTAAATGTATCAAGCTCTTTTGAAGGCGATCAAGGTGAATTACTTATAGTTAATAGCATGTGACCCCGGGATGTAACCTACGGTCTTCGTATCAGAATGGCATTTGTTTTTTCATACCATCCTTGTCAAAATTTCCTCATCTTGTCTTTGTAAGATCATAAATTGAATGTTAATCATTCCGCTTTGGTTTTTCTTCTCAGAGTCTGAAGAAAGTGAATCGGAATCAGAATCAGAGATGTAAGTATATATTAAAGACATGGAGCTTGTGTGTCTTGCGCAACCAGAGACGATTAGCAACGATGATTTTTCGCGCAACATTCTCTTGTACCATGGCGCGCGCTTCCAATTTTGAGCGATTTGTTTTTGTGGCAACATGTTGCAGGTTTTTGAACGACCTTCCACAAAACTCACAACATTGTCGCCATTTGTGTTGTTGCGCGCCTCGTTATACGAGGCCAACTTTTAATGCAACATCATGTAACATCATCCTAAGCAGTTAACATTGATGGGCTTTTCTTGTTTAGTAATAAAGTTACTGAAGTCATGAAAGCGAGTCTCGAAAGCACAGATACAAAGGATATGACCTCGTAAGTAAAAATAACTGCACGCATAGGGTTGAGCACTGCTTACATTATCATTATTAATATCATCATCATCATCATCATCATCACCACCA